TCTGACTGAGGGCTGCTGGGAGCAGGGGGCGGGGCTTGTTGCATGTGCCCATCCTCTGGGCTCTTTACTGCCGAAGTTCCGCTCCTGCAGGAAATGACCCCTGCTTGTCAGGGAAAAGGCTCTAAAATGAAAATCCTCCATCTCCGGGTAGTGATTCAAAGTACAGGAATGCTGTCAAATGAAAAAGGAAGCCGTTAAGAACTCTTGTTTCGTTCTCACTGCCCGTTTCTTCCCATCTGCCGCTACAGATCCCTGTCAAAACGGAGGCCAGTGCATCGTGAAGGCGTTTGCCCCCATTTGCCTCTGCCCTCTTGGTTGGGGAGGCTCTCGTTGCCAGCAGAAGACAACCCGGAAGGGAGAGCCTTGCCCAGATCTGTCTGGCGGGGGTGATTGTCAGGTGCGTTTGGGAGGTGGAGCTGTTTTGGGTTCGCTGCCTCGTTCTGATCATCTCCTGACTAGGGTTGCCAGTCAGCCAAGAACCACCGCCACCACAACCACTAGTCAGGTTTGCTCCTGTACCTGGAACAATGGCTTGATCTACTAGAAGTACCACCAGATGACTGTTTACACAGCATGAAATAAACATCACCAGGTTAAGCATCTGCCCAGGAAACTTCTGTTAAAAGGCATAGCAACACCAGCCAGTTGAATCATTGGCAACCCTATTCACTCTGCCCACTTTCTCAGTCTTCCAGTTTTTATTTATGCTTTTTTAAAATGTCTACACTGATACCATTAAAGTTGTTATTTTTGGGCCAGCGATAAAAGTCCCAGCTCGATCCCAGGTCTTTGAACCCTGTGCGGTTTTTACCGTTTTGGTGCTCTTCCCTCATGTGTTTTAAGAGCCAGTTTAGTGTAGTGGTTAGGAGCATGGACTCTAATCTGGGAGAACCGGGTTTGATGTCTCACTCCTCCACATGCTGGGTGACCTTGGGTCAGTCACAAGTTTTCAAGGGCAGTTCTTGAGAGAGCTCTCTGAGCCCCACCTGCCTCACAGGGTGCCTGTTGTGGGGAGGGGAAGGGAAAGGAGATTGTAAGCCGCTTTGAGACTCCTTTGGGTAGAGAAGGACAGGGTATAAATCCAATTTCCTCCTCCTCTTCTTTGTCTTCTTCTTCTTCTTCTACTACTACTACTACTACTACTTGTGATCAGGGGTATTTTTGGACAGGAATTTATCTATTACCTGTTACAGAAAAAAAAATTAATTTTTTGTTGAAGAAATGCTATACCACTGAATGCCAGATTACTAGGATCAAGCAACAAAAATAGCTATTCCATTTCTGCTCTATTCCCAGAAAGATCTGACTGGTCCCTGCTGCAAATATACTACAAGACCAGTAGTGTCCTTATTATACTGAATGCAGGGGACTGCCACTCAAAACAGTATGCCCAGCATTGTTTTATGTATGCAGCAGCCCATTGTGAAAGGGTCCTATACATGGAAACCATATTTTTTGTGTTCCTTCAAGGTCTTTCAGTGGGAGAAAATATACTTTTCTAGCAAGGCTAAACAAATCTTCATAAAGTAAAGAAGAGTACACAACTGCAATGATGGCTTGATAGGTTCTGTGATTTTGTAATATTTTGGTATCGCTTTTTAAAAAAAAAAACAACTATGGTCCCGTTCACACAGAGAAGTTACCGCTCTTAAAGACACAGATTAGGCGATTTTCGGTGCACGATCACACCGCAACATCTGGGAAGCGTAGTTCACCCGTGGCTGTAATGTCCGCTGTCCAGGACAAATCTCAGTCACAATCTCAGGCAGGGTTTAATCCAAAATACAATGTTTATTCAATCCAGCTATCACCAGGTAGCACAACGTATATTCTCCAAGCAAAATAGAGGACTGATAAAACCCACTCTGCTAATGGCCTGCAGGTGGACATAACAACTCCAAGCGATCTTAAAGACACATTACACCACATCTCCCTCTTTCAAAGAAAAAGATAACTTTAAAATCTCTTTGGTTTACACATAGTACATAACGGAAAACATATACAGAGAATATATATATAAAACATTTCATTAGACCATTAAAAGTGTAATTAAGACCACTTATATTATTGAGCTATATATCTTTCTGGCGAAAATACAACCCTACCTCTAGATGTTACATATCTAGGATGCCTTCCTTCCTCCTGGGTCCGTTCAGATATATTTTCATGATGTTGTACATCTGGAGTCTCTTCCTCCTCATTATCCTTTTCATTACTCTGTTGTTCTTCTGATTGTATCTGATCCTTCACATCCTCCCCTGTGTTAACTTTCTGTTTTATATTTTCCTGCTCCTCCTCCCCTAAATCCCTCCGTTGATACCTAAGTTTACGTCTATTCCGCCTATATATAGTCCCATCTGGAGTTATGACTTGATATGTCCGAGGCTGTGCACACCTCTCTAGCACCTTTGCTGGAAACCATCGTTCTTTAGCTTCCACCCACACCAAATCTCCTGGCTGTAGTGGCTTAAGCGATTTTGCTGTCCTATCATAAAATTGCTTTTGTTTCCTTTGAGCTTCCTGTAGGTTCTCTCTAACTCCAATAGGGATCTTAGGATACAACAAATCTTTTGTCACTGGGAGTTTGCTTTTCAACATCCTACCCATCAACATTTGTGCTGGGGAGTGCACCAATATGCTAATGTGTTTCTGCTGTTGGGTGTGGCCTATTATGCTAATGAGTTCCTGTTGGGCTTTTTCTACAATAAGAGCCCTGCTTGTGATCTTCTCCGTATGCGGTTTCATCATTTTTGTGTTAATAGGGCAATGCATCTATTCTCCACTTTCAATTTGTGCAGACATGTGCCCTAAGAAGGGTGGGTGGCTGTTTTTCTGACTGCAAAAACATGCATGTTGCCCCATTTGCACAAAATGGTGCATGCGTGTATCAAGAGGGCCGGGTTGAAAAGCGCTTTGGGCCCCTGCTTGCTGTGCAGAAATCCTCAGCCACTGAGTTAAACTTTGTTATTTCCTACTAGGGTTGCCAAGTTGTTTTCTATCCGGAGCGGGGGGCTCCCGCCTGGTGTCTGGAGCGCGCGCACCGCATGCACGTCACCCGGAAGTGACATGATGACGCAGGGCATGCTGGGGGTGGGGGCACGGCCATACAAGGGAAAACCATAGAGTTTTCCCTTGGATGGCTGTGGCCCCGCCCCTAGCGTGCCCGGCGTGGTCGCGTCACTTCCGGGTGACTGCGCGTGGGGGTGGGTTCCCCCCCAGGGCCCGATCCGCCAGCGGCAGATAATAGGCCTCTGGGGCGGGGGGTTCCCTGCCCCCCGGGGGGACTTGGTAAGCCTATTTCCTACCCATGCCTGCATGAAAGATGGAACGAAGAAGTGACCTGGCCTGGTGACGCAGCGGGTGTCCCCGTCCTCCTGTGTGAAGTGCCATCAGGTCGCTTCTGACTTATGCCAACCCTATGAAATAATGACCTCCAAAAATTCCTGTCGTTAGTAGCCTTGCTCAGGTCTTGCAAACTGAAGGCCGTGGCCTCCTTGCTTGGTTCAGTCCATCTCATGTTGGGCCTTCCTCTTTTCTTGCTGCTGCCTTCTTCTTTTCCTAGCACTGTAGTCTTTTCTGGTGTCTTCTCATGATGTGACCAAAGTACAATAGCCTGACTTTAGTCCTTTTAGCCCCTAGGGAGAATAGCAATTGTCAAGGCCGGCCCCCTCTTGGCGCAGTAATGTAACCAAGCTGTACCTGGGTTTGGTCCCAGCAGTAGAGCTTGATTGAAGGAATTCAAGAAAAAGGTTTGAAAAAACAAGGCATATAGTTCAGTGGCAGTAAAATGCAAAGACAAGAAAGCGAACGAACTACCTTTTACTGGAGTCCTAACGCAACGCAGTGGGTTCTGAAAGCAAAGAGTTCCGGCTGGCTCCCGAGTTGGTCACGCCCAGCAAGAACTCATTAGCATAATAGGTCACACCCAACAGCAGGAACGCATTAGGATTGGCTACATTAGGGGTGTGTGGCCTAACATGCAAAGGAGTTCCTGCTACAAAAAAAGGCCCTGGGTTTTGACAACAAACAAGGTAAACAGAATAACAAGCAAAAGGTGGGTGTGGCTGGATGACCACACTTCTGGTAACATGTGGGTGTGGCCTAATGTGCTAATGAGCTGTGCTGTCAGGGGTGTGGCCCAATATGCTAACGAGTTCCTGCTGTTGGGGGTGGCCTATTATGCTAATGAGTTCCTGCTGGGCTTTTTCTACAAAAAGAGCCCAGGAAAACAATCAGTCATCAGAAACAGATCCAGGATAGTTACCCCAGTTTTTCTCACTTCCAGTGCCTGCCTGGGAAGAAGTGCCCTGATGGAAGAGTCTGTACTGAAACACCCAGTGGATACCTCTGTCTCTGCCCCCCGGGAACCAAAGGTACGTTGGGGAAAGGGTGTTACAAGAACATCTCCATACATGATCAAGAACATCTTGAGTCTGGGACTTTTCAGTTTAGAAAAGAGACAACTAAGGGGGGGACACGATAGAGGTTTATAAAATTAAGCACAAGGTACAAAGGATGGAGAAAGAGAAATTTTTCTCCCTCTCCCGAAATACTAGAACTTGAGGGTATCCAATGAAGCTGATGGGCAGTAGGTTCGGGATGGACAAAAGGAAATACTACTTTACACAGAGAGTGACTCAAATGTGGAATTCTCTGCCAGAGGATATAGTGATGGCCACAGGAATAAATAGCTTTATAAGGGGATTAGATAGATTCATGGAGGAAAAGTCTATCAGTGACTACTAGCTGTGGTGACTGAGAGGAGCCTCCACATTCAGAGGCACTAAACCTCTGAATTCCAGATCCAGGAGGCGACATCAGGAGAAGGTCTCAGCCTCCATGCACTGTTGTTGGCTGTCCAGAGGAATTAGTTGCCCACTGTGTGAGACAGGATGCTGGACTAGATGGACCACTGGTCAGATCCAGCAGGGCTCTTCTTGTGTTCATGATGGCCAAATGTCGAATTCTTGCTCACCATAAAATGACTCAGTCTCCCATCCTTCTTCCAGGTCCCAACTGCGATTTGTACCCCTGTTCCGTTCCTACCGCCCATTGTTATCATGGGGGGACCTGCGTGGCTCGGCCTGAAGGCGTTTCTTGCCTCTGCCCTCCTGGGTATGTTGGTGACCAGTGCCAGGGGGTGGTGGACCCTTGCTTCTCCCAGCCTTGCCACCCATCTGGGGCCCACAGCTGCCAATCAAATGCAAACGGCTTCCAGTGTTTCTGCCTGCCAGGGTATACAGGTAAGACACCGAGGAGGGGCGGGTGGGAGATAAGATGTGTGTTCTTTTATGAAAGTTATTTCACTCATAAGAATGACTCATGAGAGAAACTGAACAAAGTCTGAGTCCAGTGGCACCTTTAAGACCAACAAAGTTTAATTCTGGGTATAAGCTTTCGTGTACTTACTGGTTCCCAAAGCGGGCAATGCTTTGCAGAAATCCTGAGGGTGCTGGAATGATCCAAGTGGGCAGTCGGAGCCTTGGGTGCAATTGGGGGGCATTGAATACAAATAAGGGGGTGGTGGAAGCATAAAGAAAGAAGAGTCCAGAACCTATCTAAAGCAACCTTTTGGCGGTAGGCCAAATAAGTTTGGGAACCTATGCGGAATGGCTAGTTAGAGATGCATAAATAAATGAGCGGTAAGTACAGCTAAGATGAGTTAAAGCAGTTGGTAAGACCTGCGAATAGCAGCAAATTAGCATACAGATAACAAAAGTGTTAACAAACAAAAGTTAGAACTAAGTTTGAGTCCAGTAGCACATTTAAGACCAACAAAGTTGAATTCTGGGTATAAGGGAGAACTGAGTGACTTAGCATGTGTAGTGAAATAAGAACCTGATATCTCTATTAAGCCCTGGGGGAGGGTTCCATTGTCCTGAGTGTTGTAATAACTTGTAGTTCAGTAATCTCCCATTCCAGTTTGTTGCTGAAATTCCTTTGCAATAAAACAGCCACCCATCTGAATCTGTCTTCATGAAAGAAACCATAATTGTGTACGTTTTAGTCAATTCATTCATCAAATCTGCGTAAGGCCGAATAATCCTTCTAAAAAAACACCTCTCCCTTTCTTTGTTTATAGAGCAGGCAGTGTATGTCACCGCTAGCATTGTCAGAAGAGACATTTTCCTCTCACTTCCGATGACACTGGTGATGAAATACACCTGCATGGCCTGTAGCAGAGGTGGCCACACTTGCTTAACGTAAGAGCCACGTAAAATAAACGTCAGATGTCTGAGAGCCACGGGACAGGAATAAATATTACCCACACATTTTTATTTAAAAATATGCAAATTTGCTTTTTTATTAACATTAAATGAGGCTGCCAAAAATAAAAACAAAAGGAGAAAAAACAGTTATTGATAAAGGTATTTATTTGCCTTCTCCAAGCCGGCTGGTTGGGGGGGGGGTGTGTGGTTCAGAATGCACTTAAAGTTGCTTTCTTTCTCTGCTCCCCCCCCCACCTCAAGCCTACCCAGGGAAGGTAAGGGAAGACATGATCGAGGTTTATAAGATTATGCATGGGATAGAGCAGGTAGAGAAAGAGGTACTTTTCTCCCTTTCTCTCAATACAAGAACTCGTGGGCACTCCATGAAACTGCAGAGCGGTCGGGTTAGAACGGATAAAAGGAAGTACTTCTTCACCCAAAGAGTGATTAACACATGGAATTCACTGCCACAGGAAGTGGTGGGTGCTATAAGCATGGACGGCTTCAAAAGGGAATTAGATAAGCACATGGAGCAGAGGTCCATCAGTGGCTATTAGCCACAAGGTATAGATAGGGGCTCTGGGGCAAGTGATGCTCTGTCATCTTGGGTGCTTGGGGGGGGGGTCAACAGTGGGAGGGCTTCTAATGTCCTGGCCCCACTGCTGGACCTCCTGATGGCACCTGGTATTTCTGGCCACTGGGTGATACAGAGTGTTGGACTGGATGGGCCTTTGGCCTGATCCAATATTGGCTTCTCTTGTGTTCTTATGTATGTTCTTATGTAATCAGGGAGGCATGCCTCCCCTTTGCTTCCCCAGCTGCACTGCCGGGAGCCACACAATATGTCTGAAAGAGCCACATGTGGCTCCCAAGCCGCAGTTTGGCCACCCCTGGTCTATAGTACTTGCTGGGTCCCCTTGCTTGACCAAAGCTGCACAGAGTTCACTGCTCCAGTGCCATCCAGAGGCACAGGACTGGGTATGTAATTTATACGTTCAATGTTTGTGTTTTATTATGTTGTTTTGTAAGCCACCTCAGGCAGTTCTCCAGATTAGGTGGGATAAAAATTCCTGAAATAAATAAATAATTCTGGCAGCTACTTCTCCACTGCTGATGCCAGTAGCCAGCAAGGTGGCAGAAAAGGGGGTAGCCCTGGGCCATAGCATAAGTTGGGAGTAACTTTCCCCAAGGCAATGGAGGGATGAATTTAGGGAACTGTAGGCAATTTGAACCCAAGACTCTCTTTTGGAATGGAACGTATGGATGAGGGGTCATTTCGTAGAAAAAGAGGTGCAGGAGCTCATTAGCATAACTCATTAGCATAATTTATTTGCATATGCCACACCCTCTGACATCACCGGAAGTGTGTCAGAAGGCAACACCCACCCCTCAGGCTCCACTGGACTGTTTTGGATTGCTAGCTATTGGGGGGGGGAACGTGCAGATCTGTCCTCGCAGAGGAGGGAGAGCTTGTACCTGAATAAAACTTGGTCTTAAAGGTGCCACTGGACTGTTTTGGACTGGGGGGCTGGGGGGAGCTCTGCAGCTTACCTGGCTGCTTCTTGCTCTGACTGAGGGCTGCTGGGAGCAGGGGGTGGGGCTTGTATGTGCCCGCCCCCTGGGCTCTTTACTGCCAGAGCTCCGCTCCTGTGCGCTCCTGCAGGAAAAGACCCCTGGATGAGACAAATTAGTACCTAGAATGAAGTGTGATTCCAGGGGCACCTTTAAGACCAACAAAGTTTAATTCTGGATATAAGCTTTGGTGTGCATGCACACCAACCATTACATAGAATTAGAGGGTGGGGAGGGTGCCTTCTGCCTATATGGAATGGCTGGTGACTTCCATTTCAGTGCATCTGAAGAAGGGTGCGTGCACACAAAAGCTTGTACTCAGATATAAAACGTTGTTCGTCTTAAAGGTGCCGCTGGACTCCAGCTTTGCTTCAGACCAACAGGGCTACCCCACCTGAGCAGTACCTAGAAAAAAGTGACAATCCCTCTCGCTTCATGGTCCTTCCTCTCCCCCAGGAATTCTGTGTGAGTCTTTGATGGACAGTTGTCAGCCAAACCCATGCCTCAATGGTGGAAGCTGCCAGGCGGTGCCCGACAGCCCTCTGGAATTCACCTGTCACTGTCCCCAGGTAAGAACGGAGCTGGCCAAATACATCTGGATTGCCAAGCCGGATTGTAAACGGGAGCCAGATGTCTAAAATAAGAGGTAGACAAACAACGGCAATAATAACAATCCTATGGCAGTGTGTGTAGTCTAGCCAGGAGATACTAAGATAGTCCGGCAGCCGGAAGTTCTAGTTCTTTTAGCGTTATGCACCACTAGGTGGTGAGCTAGATTTGTTTTTAAGGCAAGAGACATTTC